CCTTGTAGTATAAACTTACGCTCACATTGTGCATATGTCAATTGGGCTGGCTTGAGCTCTTCGTAATGACCTTAGGAGATGTCAATCTCGCTGGGGCTTGGGGTTGAGTTTGCTTTCGGTGCGAAAATTTTCACACCACGAACCGAATTCTGCAATCTTGATCTTGATTCGCTGCAATCTCATATTCAAAGATGTCGCAGTCTTGATCCTGGATTGCATCAATTTATATCTTGTCGTAGGGATCAGGGTCTTCACTGTACGGTAATCTTCACTTAGCGAATAAAATAGTTCTGCGACGATCTTGCCTTGAGATCAGTCTGACCTGGTTTCGAGATCTGCCGCTCTTGTCAAAAGTGCGCAGCTTGGGCCAGATAGAACTTGCGCTTCCACAAAATCAAACGTGCCGATCTGTCATGTCGATCGCTTGGTCATGCTTGGTCGTATCTTGAAATCCTTGTTTAGACCTTTAAATTTATAAACCGTCTCGCGGTCTTGTGTCCAAGATTCTTTTCTGTCGTTGCTGCTACCGTAGCAGTCAAGTTGACAGTGAGTACCTGATCGATCCGGCCAAATTCAAGGAATCGCTCTTCTTCCGATCTTGGCCAACAATTCCAATATCGGTCTTCAGTTTCCTTCAACACGCCTGTCTTAAGCCTTAGAGAAGCCAAAGAAATCTTGCTCGGAAAGGGGAACGTGTGGAGTGTGAAAATAAGGTAGAGTTCAAGTCTATTTTTTAACCCCCACAAAACTATCCAGCCTACCGTTAAGCCTATTCTTAACTATACTTCACTCTCCATACCATTATCATCTTGAATCTGGATCGCTTCCTTGTCACGTGTTTAAATTTCGTGCTCTATACTCTAATAATAGCGCCAGTATCCCATATTGTACCTAGAACACCAAATGTACCCGAATCTCATTATATGGTTGCAAATCCCCAATTCTTGGCGCCAAAGTACCCAATATATGACCCAGATTGCCGAATGTGTCCAAATCCATTTTGCGACGTCATTTCGGGAGGCTTCCAATGGCTCTTTCAGTCTGAAATTTCTTGGCATCACTAAAGGACCTCCATCAAGTATAATTCACATGATCCTGTTTCTTCGTCAACATTTTATCCATGATTAGTGTGGAATATGACCGATCAATTTTTCAATATCGAGATTTTGGAGATCGATCCGGTAAAGATCGGCGATCAACACTATTTCGTCTCATAGTACTTGCTCCCATATCATCCTTCAGTGCTCATCTAATCAACAACCTCATCCGTGCGCCTTAACATAGGCTTCCTTGACTTTCCTGGGTATTCATGACTTCCAAATCGGGGTATAATCAACCAAAAATAGTACGCCCATATAGGTTCGGTAAAGAGTATCACCGATCCGCATGGTGCTGCACATTCGTTGCAGATTTTCCGATCCGTATCATCTATCCCTAGATGTACCTTAGATAATTAACTTGGTCCACGTGTGTTAATTCTGCACAGGGCCGCCGCCACTGCATTTCTATCTGCGATCTGGTCTTCGCCTGCTTCAATACACGTATACTTCTTCTTGACCAACCTTCACGTGAGTTGTATGACTTCGGCTCGCTGTCTTGTCCCAGATCGCTCCATAGAAGTATTGTCCCAGATCACTCTGTGTCCTGTCCCAGTTGACTCCATAGAAATCTTTCTGGTTAGTCGTCTAGTCTCTGATATCGTCCCGTCTCCGTCACCTGGTCTCGCTTTCTGTCAGTCAGTGGCGTCTCGACTAGGTGGTCACCGATCCACGTCCTAAAAATTCGATTAACGACTTTGCCACACTACTACCATCTTTTATCATTCTAGCTATCCATTGGCATTCGTTGAGTCAAATGTTTTTTACTTGTTTGGACTTCACCGGCGCATTGCAAGATTTTTATATATGGCAAATACAGAAGAGAAGAAATATTGACATCAAATATATAAAAAATCTGCGGCCTGAACTCCTCTTGTCCGTGTAAACTTTTTAAGAATTTTTTTCTTTACCGTTAATCCTATGAAGTCGCCCGTTAAGAAACGAGTATCGTTTTGCATTCTACACTAATAAAGTGCGTGATGTATAAAAAAATTAATTAGGCGAGGTGCTGCGCAAACTTGTTTAATACAACTGGAAATTACTTATAGTGTCTTATGCAGTAAGTTTAACTTAATTTCTGTATTTTTAAAAAGGTCATCAAGCTATACTCGTATAGGTGCACCATAACAGCGAAATCTGCTGGGGATAGCTCGAGAATAGTTATTTTTCATTGTACCGCCTACATGTTGTAGTTCTGTGACATCCGGAATAACTTTTTTGGCTGTATGTCATTGTCTTAGGATTTTATATCAATCCGGTCAATGCGTAGATAAATTACATGTCTTTAGCTGTAGTTTAAATTGAGAAAAAGTCGATTTTGATGTCGACGACATGTTGCTAAATGACACTATCAACATAATGCCGTTAATCCGAACAGGTAACCGAAATATTAATCAAAGGCGACCCCAACGGTACCATCCATGTTAGATATATTTACTTTTACCATATAGTCAAACTAATAACAATGTAATAAAGCGAAATTTCGGAAATGTTGAAATTTAAAGGTCGATGATTCGGACGGACATGGAACCTCGCGGCTGAGACAAGGACCCAAAATTGAGGGTCACAGGCAAGGAGCGGCCGTTAGGTCCACCCGTGACAGGCAGTTAAGGTTACTAACAGGGTTAAACTTACCAACGGTAACAATGAAACGGTGCTGACCTGGATAATCTAAACCACTCGTCGGTCGGCCTGGTCCCCGAGGTGGACCTCGGTCACCCGTAGTCTGACCTGGTTACCCATCGGTCGACCTGGTGACCCATAGGTCGACTTGGCCTCTCAAGGTCTGGTGGCTCCTGGTCACTCATCATAGAGAACTTAGGTGTAAGGCAAGAGTAAAGTTTTTTGAAGGATAGGGCAACATTAAAAACTACTCAATTTTCAATCTAAGTAGCACGACGTGTCATGCGTTAGAAAACTTGTAAGTCTACCGACCTGTTCCGGGCCAGGGATCTGTTTGGCCCACCTGTCGTATCGACAAGTTGTCAGTAAGACCCAAGTGTAAGTAGAACCCCAGGAAGTATATTGGCCTGTGGGTTCGTAGACTAGCACCCCCCAACTCAAGCCCGCTATGGGAAGTGGTCTCTATAATCTAGTGTTAAGAGATAAGAAACGTAAAGTCCAGGCGGTAAACGTCCCTGAGAAAGTAGAAGCCAGGCGCTACCAGCGCCTGAGACTACTGGTTACAATACCATTCTCGACCAAGTTGATTGAGTTGCCGCTTAAATAGGACCCCGACTGAAGCACACCCGCTCGAGGCCTCCCAGATCGACCTCTATCAAGGCCGACGTCTACATCATCACCAAGTACTCCGAAGAGTGAAAGCCGCCAAGCCGACGGGTTCACAAGGTGAGTCAAAATCCACAAGTGGCATGGGGGTACCCCCTCGGACAGTCGGCAGCCCGGCACAGTGAGTGGTGTGGGGTCTCGTTAAACAGTTTTGACAACCCACTCCACCTCACCTACTGCTGGAAATGCTCTTAGCAGTGTCTGTGGCTGTCTGATCGTCGCCGTTGCATTCGTTGTAGTCATGTTTTTTGGTTTTTTTTTTCGTCTTGTTCGTGCTTACCATCGTCGTCGCCGTCTGATTTCGATTTGCACAATTATCATTTTGTTTTACACTTAAGTGTTCCCCGGGTGCATCCCTATCGTCATCGGGTACACCGGTGATACCTGATAAAGTTTTTGATACCTCGTGCTACCCTTTCGGGTTGATTTATGCTCAACGGAGCGGAATCAATATGAGTCGGAAGGCTTTTCCCGTAGTTTTTACTATGTACGATGTTCTGTTATTATACAACGTGAACTCAGCGTCATTCGTGAAGTAATTGTATTGATGAAAAGCTCATAACGAGTCTGTACAAGACATAAGTTTAAAATTTGTTGGATTCATTTGAACAAATCCACTCATTATAGTTTATGCCGAACTATATCCAAGCTGAAGACCAGTATCCGGACACGATGAACAGAGACCGCATTAAAGACGGGCTTGATTAGTTATCTTAATAACGTAGATTTATTTATTGTTCACCTAGATCTTTTTTTTCGGTGCCAGGAACCAAGCTCTGTCGTTGGAGCTTGTCACATAGATCACGTAAAAGAGAGGCAAGATGGTGGGCAGGACTGTTAACCGTTTAGACATCCCGGTGCAAGTATTTTTTCCAAGCGCTATCAGTGCTCCAATGCCATAGTGTAGCGGAGCTACCCCAACTCCATATTCGGAGGAAGACTTTTGAACTCGTGGAGTCCATTAGTATATCGTACTAAGCGGGTAATATTCTAAAGGGTTCCAAGTCTTGAAGACTTGATGAAACGTGACTATAAGTGTGTAACGGGGCACCCTGAAGCTTGTACTGGTGACAGTACAAGCTACTTATTCTGATGACAGAATAAGGCGGTGCCTCGGAACTTCACGTACACTCGTACGTGCAGAGGAAGACGGTAAGAAGAAGCGAGTACTTGGTTAAAGTAAAAAGTAGAACTGTATTTATAATAGTTAATGTCTGCAATAAATCACTATTTATCTTCATCTAACTATGTCTAAATACAAATGTGTAAATCAACTATCTGCTCACCACTCATTGCGTGCGTCTGTCGTGGCGCGTCTTCGTTGGCTGATATAATGGCCTATATCAACCAATTAGGAACTACTCGTAAGTGCTACAGAATATTGTCCTTATGACAATATTCTGAGAATACAACTCTTATAGTTATATTCTATTAACAATTTCTTATAAATTGTTATGTAACGATTCACCCCGTTACATCACCCCCCCCTTAACCATCAGTCAATTTAGTGACTGATTGACTAAATGGATACTCGTCCCAAATCATTTGGGACAGGGTTTGCACTTGTTGGTCCGAGTCCACTTCCCAACACTTCATCGCATGGTTAACAAGCCCATGCGATGCGCGAGCAAGGCCGCCGAGAGCGCGTCTGCACGTCTCTGTGCGGACGCCGAAGCAGAAACTACAGCAACTGATGTCTCATCGGTTGCTGAAGCGACCCAGCCTGTGTCACTTGGTGATGCAGGCGCTGGTCATGAAGACACTCATGTCTTCACAGAGTACGAGCTCGGTGTCTCGTACTCTCCTGATACGGAAGACGGATCCGTATCGACGGCGATCGAATCCAAGCCGCCTGCCAAGCGTGGCATGGATGATGCTATGCGTCGCAGCATCTTTGGTTCATCTGATTCATCAGATGAACCATCACCGAAGCGAAGGCGCTCGAGGTCGCGAGACTCGGGCGCTCACAGTGGTGTCGATTTTCCTGTTGACACCACTTCGCAACGAGGTGCCAGTCCTTCTGTCGGCACGTCGCAGGAAGAGCGGGACCGCAATGTCTTGCGTCTCGCTCATGAGAAGAAGGCATGGATGCCTCCGAAATCTGTCATGGATCACTTGTCGGTGACGACGAGTGATCGTTATCGTACACGGTTGTTCGATTCGTCAAGGATCCATCACCTTGACCCCAGCGCGAAGAACTATCGCGCTGAGCATGAATTCTTCATCGATGCTTTCTTTAAGCATCGATGGTACAGTGGGAATCACAAACGTGATGGTCCCTCACTACTTTAGGCGTGGAACGCCTACATCCATAACCTTGAGGATGTAGGTCGTGACGCTTGGAACGACAAACTTATCAAAGTTCGTGATAAGTTTGAAAAGCGAACCCCGACAGGTGCACGCTACAAGCTGCATCGTCTGTCAAGGGAGAAAGGAATACCCTGCCTCTCTTGGGCAGATTCGTGCCCATGTTGTGTGAACAACTCTGCACGAGCACCTAAGGAGGCTTACCTCCTTACCAGCCCGTGGTGGCGCGTACGTGTCTCTACTGAGATGTACGAAGGGATTGACAGCTTGAAATCCCTTTACGACCGTTCCGGGAAGACTTTCTCCGGCGGTCCTTCTGCGGCACAGGATGTGCCGCGTCGTACTGCTCAACCAGACCCAGTACGTCGATCATCAGTTGGGAGCGGGGCTCCCAAGAATCCCAGGACAGGGGATAGCCGCGCCACCGGACGAGATAACTCGTCCGACGTCCGTTCACGTCGCGGTGGTTCAACAGCTGCTGAACTAGATAGCGCTGGCCACCGCGAGAGTCCTCTAATGGAGGTGGAGGAGGAGGAAAGACGCTCTCCACACGATCATGTGGATCGGTGTGTTCCCGAGAGCTTCTTTGATCGCGTAACGCAAGGGTTACGCGACGATCTCGAGCATGAGCGGAATAGGCGTCTCCAAATGGCGGACACTGCCTCGAAGCATCGAGCTGAGTTTGCCTTTGCTCAGCTTGAGAACGAGAGATCTCTGACATCTCTTCGTGACGAGCTAAGGGTAGCTCGTGGAATTGCTGATCGGTCTCGGGATGAGATAGCTGCTCTTCAGACCCTTGTTGATGCCCACCATCGGGAGCACAAGGCTCTCTGCGAGATGCTTGAGCGCAAGGGCGTTCTTCATCGGAAGAAGCAGCGTACTGATGGTACGGCTTAAGCCGACCAACGTAAAATGTGGGATGCGTTCGCATCTTACGTGGCAACTCGATCGTGTATGCATTGCCTAGGCGGTGCAATTCACAAAATGGGCCGATGTACTTGGGTAGTAGTTTGCTGCTACCAAGTTAGTCACTACATGCTTTGGTAGATTAACCGTAGACAGTAGGACTAAGTCACCTTTATTAAATAAAAGAGTGTTTGCCCTTCCATTATTGTCAGCGTTTTGCTTTTTCGCATCCACCGCTTCGGCGATGGAGTCTTGCACAACAAGGACTACCGTTTCACGAGTCAGTATGAACTCATCTGCTGACTCGTTATCGTCAGTGCGCTGTGACTGCAATGCAGCAACATCAACCTTTTCTTCAGTGAGGGCTTCCGCGCTATCACTGGCATCATCTTCTTCGATATCGATCTTGTCGATATCGGCATCAAACGCAATGACCTCTTCGTCAGAGCGTGATGAGCGTGAACCAAATCGGTTTTTGCTCGCGCGAGTCCCTCCCCCCTTAAACCAGAGTTACACTCTAGTAAGGTGGGTACACGCGGATGGCGTAAGCCATTCAAGTAAAACGGTGTATGTGTCGTGGACGCATGCACCGAGTTGTTAATGGCAAACTCTACCATTGGCAAAAACTCACTCCAACTCGTAAAGGAGTGTACGTATCCTCGAAGTATTTCTTCAAGGATACGATTAGCACGTTCCGTCTGACCATCTGACTCTGGATGATCAGATGTAGACATCTTCAAGCGCGTTCCGAGTGATTTGAACACGGAACGCCAGAAATCAGCAGTGAATCGTGGATCTCTGTCTGATACGAGTTCACAGGGCAACCCATGAAGTCGGAAGATGGAGTCAATAAGGACACAAGCACAGCCACTTGCTGTGATTGAATCTGGTACAGCCACAAGGTGTACCATTTTGCTGAATCTGTCAACAAATACAAGAATACCCGTATTTCCGCGTGCGTCTTTGGGTAACCCGAAGACAGAATCCATTAAGACGGATTCCCAGCACTCTGCCGGAACTGGTAGAGGCTGTAAAGGTGCACGCAGTGAAGGAATTGACCTCACTCGTTGACAGACTTCGCATGCGCGAACGTACTTGCGCACAAACTGATACTGGTGGGGCCAGTAAAAGTCTCGACTCACCGTAAGATATGTATTCTCCCGGCCACGATGTCCTCCTCTAGGAGCATCGTGATACTCGAACATGATCCGCAAACGCAGATCAGTATCATCTGGGATGAGAACACGTGGTGTGTCACCAGAAACGGCTGTATAATACAGTAAACCGTTGCGAGTAGTGGATCGATCTGATGCAGATCGATACGCAGGCGACAATCGTTTCAACGATTCTCGGGATGGTTGGGAGAGATGTGTCAACAACTTCACAATCTCACCATCTTGGGCATACGCCCGCCTCACATCATCATACAACGTTGTAGATGGGACTGAGGACGTCCTAACCGCAACAATGACTGTCGCACTGTTGGGTTTCGCGACTGTTTCAAAGTCGGGACGACGTGAGAGTGCATCAGCGACGACATTAAGTCGTCCTGGTTTGTACTCGACCGTAAAGTTGTATTCTGCAAAGAATGACAACCACCGCGCCATTCGTTGTGAAAGGTGCGGGCTGTTCACTGCCGTGCGTAATGACGCATGGTCAGTGTAAACAATGAAGGGTCTATCTCCTAATAGATAGACTCTGAACTTCGCGAGTGCATACTTCATGGCAAGGAGTTCCTTGTCATGCACTGGATAGTTCCGCTCAGCTGGTTGCAGCTGACGCGACTGATAGCAGACGACGCGTTCAACGCCTTCAAGATCGTACTGCATTAATGCACAGCCGATTGCGAAATCGCTGCCATCACAGACCACATGAAATGGCCTGTCCTGATCGGCTATTGCTAGGACTGGGGATTGTATCAAGCTCTGCTTGATACCCTCAAAGGAGCGTTGACATTCAGCGTTCCATAACCACCTCTCGTTCTTTTTCAACAAACGAGAGAGGTGCACAGTCATCTCGGCGTAATTGCGTGAATACTTATGCAAATACGCCGCTAGCCCAAGGAATTTTTGAAGACCTTTGACATCAACCGGCACAGGCCAGTCGGTGATCGCCTTGATCTTTTCGGGATCAGGACGTACACCGTTCTTACCAACGATGCACCCAAGAAGTGGTATTTCGCTTGCGGCAAATATACACTTCTTGAGGTTTGCATACAATTGATGCTTTCGCATGATTGTAAGAACCTGTCGGACGTGGTACCTGTGAACCTCAACGTCCGACTTTCCATCCATAGCTCGACTATGGATGAATACGTCATCGAAATAACTCGGCGCGAATGCTCGTACTGGTCTCAACAGATGTGTATCACATCTGTTGAATGTGGCAGGGGCATTACTAAGCCCTTGTGGCATTACTAGCCATTCCCAGAGCATGCCGCTAGGCGTGCTAACTGCGGTATAGGGTATATCCCGTTCCCGCATAAGGATTTGATAGAAGCCATCCATCACATCCACGGACGAAAAGATGGTACTCTTTGACATACCATCAATGATTACGTCCTTCCTCGGTATCGGCGTCTGAGCCGGTACCGTTGCAGCATTCAACTTGTTAAATGCATGCACTATCCGCCACCCTCCTGTTGCTTTTCGCACACAGAAGGTCGGAGAGCTATGTGGGGAAGTTGATTCCCTCACATGGCCCACAGCTAAACGATCGGCAAAGAACTTGTCGATCGCAAGTACTTGTTCACGAGGCAGTGGCCACTGCTTCATGACACAGTACTTCGAGCCTGGTTTAAGCTCGACCTCGTGTCGAATACCTTTATCCTTCGGTAATTCGCACGGAACAGTTTCAGGGAATACATCCTTGAATTCAACCAAATCTTCATAGAGAGGATTTTTCTTGAGCGATTCCCACGATTGGGAGTCATATCGCTCAATTCGTGTCTTTTCATCGAGGACGCTCTCGTCCATAGATGAGCTACTGAGAACTCTCTCGTTATCAGTAAACACTGTTGCTGACCTTATGTCGGTTACACACTCGTCGTCAGCGACGAGTACGCAGATCTGCTTGACTTTGCCACTACGCAGATCACGCAAGGACCTTTTATGTTCGAGCGTTGGCAACTGAGTGATCTCCGAAGTCAACTTCGGAGGCGCAATCAGATCAAGTGTATAAGCGCCTACACTTGATCCGTTATTGACTATGACATTTAATGTCTCTGTCATTTCCTGGGGACTTATTCCCTCAGGCTTCGAAGGACTTATTCCTTCGTCTTCCCGGGGACTTATTCCCGCGGGTTTCGGGGAACTTATTTCCGCCGTATTTGTAACATCGGGACTTATTCCCTTTACTTCCTCTAGCTGGGGTTGCGCAACCACAGCGAGATCCTCTACGAAAGACTCTCCAGTCGATCTAGGATTATCGTTTCGCTTAAATGAGCGATCGATTGTTTCTCCTCTAGATGTTCCCCGCTAGGGATACATCTTTGTCCCGGTCCACTCGACTTGTTCGAGTGGTGGACCTTCGGCGCAGCCTGTGTTTCCTCACAGCCGCCGGAACTTTGCTCCGAAGTGTAACCGTTTGGTACACTAAGGTTTTGTGCAGTCGTACTAACGACCGTACCACAAGTGAGGCCATCGCACTCACTCGTAGTACATCCACACGCTTGTGGACGCTCCAAAACGTTCATCAGATGGCCATCTGATGAACAAGCGGCAGGCATCGTTACTGTCCGATGTTGCCAGTTTACCCGTGGTCCGTACCTTCTGAGCCACGGTATTCCAAGGATGACATCAAATTTGTCATCCAAATCCAATACGATAAAGTCATCGTTATATTGGGTATCTTCTAGCGTATAGTGGATCTTTACTATACGCTTAATGACGGTTACGGATGCGCCTGTCGCAAGACGTACCGTCATCCTCGTAGGAGGTGTGTCACAGTCACTGAATTTAAAGTGACCATCTTCTAGCGATTGGCGTCGCATAAAATTGTTGGACGCCCCACAATCGACTAGAGCTCGAAGGGACAACTTATTCGTCACTTCGAGTTTCAAGGTAATGAGTGAGATCTTATTACCTAGAGCAGCAACGCACAACGTTTGTGTGTTGGGAGCAACCTTCATCAAGAGGCCTACAAATTCTCTTGACGTTGCTGGACCAGTAGGGTGCTCCGCACCTACCGATCCTGTCCGTTTTTTGACGGTCCATCCCGTTGTTGCGTCTTTGCACCAACAGCGGACCCTCGTCCCTGCCCCTTTCTCATGGGTGGACGGTCACTACGCCCAGTGTCGCGATACACTGGACGAGGGGCACTACACTCATAAGCGTAGTGTCCTGTCTTTTGACATCTGTTGCATCTCTGCAACTTCTTGTAGCCTGTAGAGCGAGCCTTCTCGCTCTCTACATAACAGAGTTCCATCGGCTTTGGACCTCCGTTGTCATATCGTCTCGGTTGACGATATGATGTCGAGCTGGCGCGAGCCTGTCTCAGACTGAAGTCTTCCTGCTCCGCAATGGAAATGGCTTGTTCTAGTGAATCTAGTTCAAGCCGGAACAGGTGAGTCTTGACGGGACCATCCGCAAGACCCTGCATGAACACCGAAACCAACGTGTGTTCATCCACCGGATTGGAACTTATACAACTCGTAAGATGTCGTATATGTTTCGCGTAAGCGTGCACATCACGCTTACCTTGTCTGAGCTTCAAGAGTTCGGTTCGAGCTCTGAACTCAGCTCTAGGCGGTTCAAACGTTTGTCTGGGCCGCGAATTGAAGACTTCCAACGACCCAAACGCATATGGGTCGTGCAACTTGAGCCCCAGTGCCCAAGTCTTGGCACGTCCCGCCAGATTTGACTGGGCAAATGCAACTTGCATATCCCCGTCGTCGATGCGACGCGCCCTTATGGCGTTCCAATTCGACGAACCATCTCAAGAGGGAGTCCTCTTCGACTCCCATATACTTGGAGATGTCAATCTCAAGTCTCGGGTCGACGCGAATGTATCGACCGCGAGCAGCAGCCTGCTGCTGTCTCAACAGTTCAAACTGTTGAGCACCCTGTTCTCTCAACAACTCTGCTTGTTGAGAACCTTGTTGGTAAAGCAAGGCTACTTTCTCGCGTTCAGCGTCAAGTTCATTTTGAATGAACTTGGCGATAGTAGCATGTTGGGCATCTCTATTGAGAGCCTCTAGCATGACGCTAACAGCATGGATGCCCATGGTTGAACCCATTCGTTCAACCGCATCCCATTCGACATCGCTCAAATGGGAGTAGCCGTCACGCGTAGCGTGAAAGCTTTGGTCATCTTCATCATCCAACATATTCATGTTAGATGTGAACGTGGTCCTTGGACGGACTACGAAGTGCTACCAGGTGTAACGGGGCACCCTGAAGCTTGTACTGGTGACAGTACAAGCTACTTATTCTGATGACAGAATAAGGCGGTGCCTCGTAACTTCACGTACACTCGTACGTGCAGAGGAAGACGGTAAGAAGAAGCGAGTACTTGGTTAAAGTAAAAAGTAGAACTGTATTTAGTATAGTCAATGTCTGCAATAAATCACTATTTATCTTCATCTAACTATGTCTAAATACAAATGTGTAAATCAACTATCTGCTCACCACTCATTGCGTGCGTCTGTCGTGGCGCGTCTTCGTTGGTTGATATAACGGCCTATATCAACCAATTAGGAACTACTCGTAAGTGCTACAGAATATTGTCCTTATGACAATATTCTGAGAATACAACTCTTAGAGTTATATTCTATTAACAATTTCTTATAAATTGTTATGTATCGATTCACCCCGTTATAAAGTGAGTGTAAAAGCTTTTGAGCTTATAGTCCTGGTTCAGGGGATTACGACTCCAAGGAATCACGCGGTACTAATGCCCAGAGTACGTGGCCTCAACTCAGGCACTTAGCTCTTACGACTCGAGACGTCTTAGAAAGACACGGGTCTGAGACCGATCAAAAGGGGAAGTGAGTGTACATAACGTTTTATAGCGATATCAAACCTTACTTAAGTAGCTAACCGAAAGACTATGCTACCTGATCGAATAGTCCTCATCTCAGTTCTTCTTGTGTACCACACCAGGACTACGTCGCCTCCATGAAGATCCTGTTACGATAGAGATCCGTAAGCCCAAATCGATAGGGTGCGCTATAATCGCCTACGTATGTGATACAAAAGTGCGCCTTATCAAGTGATACTGATCTCTTTCTGTGTGTACCACACCAATGTACCGGGTTACGCAAGCGTTTGTGTAATCCCGTTACACCTGAAGCACGTACTTACATTAACTCCTAGCCCCACTATTAGTGACGGCGAGTCCCAAGTGGTTACTGCCAGTTGACTTGAAAAGGTATCACAGAAGCGAGCGCGAGGCACCGTAACTTAGATTTGTCCATGCTTTTATACAATTTAGTTACGGTCGACATAATTTTCGGCCATCTTTGCTTGACAAACACGCATAAATCGCCAAAAAGGTAACGAAAATTTAGCTGCTTATGTAGCTGCCAAGCTCATCCGGTCTGAAAAAGCTTCTTTTGACTTGAAGCACATTTTGGCCCAATTTAATACACTTAATTTGGGCCTTTTTCGGCAGCATGGCTACGTGCGCTTATGACGGGAACTCACCTAGCCCGAAAACACCCGTGGGGTTTGACGACTCACCAAGCCAATGGTACACTGCAAACCGTCGCAAACGAGCTGCGTTGTCTGCGATGGATGAGGAACCGACGCAACCGTATAGTCAGGTGACGCAGGCCGAAACAAAAATGACATCGGCTTCTGAAAGGACTGGAGCACCTAGATTTGTATTTTATGAACCGCCTGAGGAGAAGGAAGATGGGGTTAAGGAAAAGAACAGGTGGGATGAAGAAGCGACACGGATTTGGATGACAAACTCGGTAGAGCTGAAAGGTAGGAGGCATGCTACAGAAGCGGAAGGCGTTGTAGATAATGACGACTGAACATGCACATTTGAATGAATTTAGGAGCTTCCAGATTAACAAGTTTAAGCGAAGAAATTGTGTCTTTACAAAAAACTTTCGCGGTGGATGAGGACACTGACATCGGAGCTAGTGACGACGATGCTGAATCGGACATGTCGGACGATATGTTAGAACAAGTTGGGTCTATTGCCGCGCCTTCATTGATCGCTGGTTCTCTACAAAAAAGAACGCGAACAATGGAAAGGTTGAAAAGAATTTGCATTTTGTCCACACCTCTTCGTGAGTCAACAGCTCTTTCGAGTCATGACACAATTGGAAGCAGTGGTGGTGAGACTGAAATCGAGGCTGAGCCAAAGGAAGAGTCACCTGCCAAGTTTCATGTGCACTTAAGCGAGAAACAAACAATCTCGACGGATGGAATGCAGTCAAATGTAGTCAGAGGCGTGAGCTTTCCGAAGGTGGCGTCAAAGGGGAATTTACCAAATGTGGAAAGGAAGAGTGTCGGACAATCTATGTCGACGACGAAAAAGACACACGAGTTGACGTCGCCATCTCGTAGGTCGAATAGGGAGAAACGTCAAGCTTGCAAAGGAAAGCATCTCGGCACCGATCGATTTCGTCGCGATAGGGATGACGTTCTTTCCCACAGCTCGTACCTTCCAGATTCATTGATAGATCCGGAAGGTAAGGAATGCAGCGACGAAGATGTCCCATACGCACACGCAGAAACACATGGTGATTTTTCGGAAGCTTTCGATGATCAATCACAAGACATTTTGGACGACGAGGCCGACCAGCTCGATATGTTTGGGAATACATCGTCTCATACGGCATCACGCTCGCCGCGTAAGTCGCCAACTACGTGTCATGGCACGAAGCGCACGCACTGTCTAGGTAAACAAGCTCAAGGAGGGTCGATTAGCATCATTTTTACGGGGCTCGAGCCAACTGCCGTTATTCGCAAGAAGATCAATTTGATCGCCGGCGTGTTTACGAAAGCAATATCGAAAAGGCTACGCATTTGGTTGCTCCTCAAAACAAGCTTAAGCGTACGGTAAAATTACTGTGCGGTATTTCGTGCTGCACCCATATTGTGGGCGAACAATGGCTTGACAAGTCAGCACAAGCTGGTTTGGCTATTGATGAGCACGCGAATTGCCTTCGGGACGTGGAAGCGGAGAGCAAGTGGCAGTTCGATTTAAGAACGACCATGTACGGCGTGGCCGTGGAAAATCGCCGGCGTTTGCTTGCAAACTTCAGCGTGCTTATTACCAACCACAAGTCATTGCTCCCACCAGTGGATGACTTGATAAATATTATAAAGTATGCGGGTGGCAAGGCGACATCGAAAGGAAAGCCTGCGCCGGGTGACATCGTTATCTCGAGTGAAGCGGCTTTAGCTACCGCAGCGGTACGCAAGCAACTCGTGGACGTCAATCCTGAGCACATATACTCGTCCGAGTTGATTTTGAGAAGCGTTTTGCAGCAGCGAGTTGATCTGGACAATTACAGAGTGCGAGCTCCTAGAAGCGGTGAAAGCAAAATCCGCTGATTGTGAAACTTTGCTGGTCGATGTTGGAATTAATTGGTTAATTTCCTGCTGATGCATTCTCACGGACGAACGATAAATTGCAACTACTCGTACAGCGGCTTTGCTTTGCATGAAGGCTATTTGGTGGTCTGACGGAAACCAACGAGGGCGCAACCGAGCAGAGAGATGACGCAGATAGACAGCAAATGCTGATGCGCAAACGTCTCGTAGATCAACTTGTCAATGCTGCTGCTACGTTGGCACATCATTCGGTCGTCTGTGACTCCACTAGGCATTTCGCAACAGCACACGGGCGCGTCCTCACGGCTAAACTCTCGCTTTAGCACAAGGCTTTGACCTCGCTGGTCGGCAAACGAGATGGTCTTCTTCGGCTTGGACGAGTATCTGACCGTGATCGTCTTGGTCGTGGACAGCTCATCCAGACGCGAGCCCTGAAAGGCGACGCCGTTGACAAAGGCGCTTCCCTTGCGCAGACAAGAGGGCCTGCGCGCCGTGCAAGGCGTTGTCAGCGGGCGAAGATGGCGTTCGTTATTGGAGCTGGATGGATACTTCTGGCTAGTAGTCATGGTGTACATGCTACTTTGGCAGTATTATTGGAAACCGCACAGTGTTGAACTTTTGATGCTAATGTTATTATAGAGAAAGACGCTTGATGACGGAGGCTCGTTGGCACTATGCTGTCGTGCTCTGTTTCTGGGTTTTTCTGTAAATTTCTGTGATTTTCTTGTTGTTGCTACAAAACTGAAATTACTTGAATAAAACCTAGTGGTCAGGAAAATGACCATATTTATCACACATTCGGCGTAACTATAATTTGTACTTTCCGCGATCAAAGACATAACGTTACAGATGGATAGCAATTATGCAGGTACTTGCCCTCCGAATCTGAGTTTTTTCTTGCAAGATTTTAAATGTAACGAAAGTACGTATGCTGATGTACGGGTACCAAGTCTACATTCGTATACATCAGCAAGTCGACCGTATGGTGTAGTCAACTACTCTTGGAATTTAAATCTGTGAAGATTTATGCTGCAATCGATTGAGCTTTTAGAGTAGTTCCGTCAATTATTATTTCGCAGTGAGATTTTGACGTCACGATTCTGGTGCGGGCCGTTTTAAACAATGCTGATTTCGAAAGCATAGTTATACGAGCTACTCGGCAGGGGAACTTGTGACGGGGTGTACCCGTTTCACAAATTTGTAACGGGGCACCCTTTATTTGTGGTGCCGCGAAACTTAACGTGCACTAGTAGGTGCAGACGAAGCTAATCTACTCAAACAGCTAGTTTGAGTGAAGGGTAACATAGGAATTGTATTCAATATAGCTAAGCTATCAATATAACTCCAGCCTTCATCTAACTATATTAATCTACATTGTCGTATGACGACAACCTGCTCACCACTCATTGCGCGCGTCCAGCAGCGATTGGTGGTAATATTGGTTGATATGTCTTTTAGCAACCAATCTTTGAGCAGCGCATGAACATTATCCTACAAGGAGACAATATTCCTTCAATATTATCTATCTCGGATAATATTTGTAGGGAATTGTCACGCTAGACAATCCCTGTTGACACCGTTTGGTGTCAATATTATGAACGGGCTACCCGGTTACATACCAAGTGCTTGTCTGGCTCCCCATGTTAGTTTTATTTTGAAAGCTAATTATGTTCACTGCTGCAGAAGCATTATTTCTGATTGTATAAAATGATAAGAGATAGAGTCTGTACAAAAAATTGACGAATACAAGCTCAATCTTCGAGTGTTTACTTAGCGGTATTAAACGAGTGACTAATATAAACAAAGTTGTGAATCAAACCAAAAAGGAAGTGAAATCTTATCAAAACAACTAATTGTGGTGCACTATCAATATTTTCTCAATACAATTTTGTAGCTGTTGTCGTAAGGTTTATTTTTCAGTTTGTTTTTATTTTCAGGGTTTTTATATTCCTCCTTTCTCACAATCCTACACGCTCTATTGCCTATTTTTGAGTTAATGTTGCACATACTGGACCACGTCCACAACGTGATCCCTAAGGTGTAGTGCCTGTAGCTGGCTGTAAGCAGGCGAACAATGGAAGTGATGCTGTCGTACAACGTACGTATAACGTGAGCTCTTAATCACCAAAAAAGTGATACGACGCGTTGATCTAAATCCTAATTGACGAGCCTCTATGGTCCGATTTTTTAAATCCCCGCACAGAAGCTGTCGAGAATTTGCAGCGTCAAATCGTGTTGCCTACACATACCACCGGTCCACATATTGGTCCCTCCCATTAGCCTTTCATTCTCTCTATGCTCGATTAAATTATCTATCCAGAGAGGTGTGAGGCCATCCAAAGTTACCACTATTTGCGCCGGCGACTTCCGCTGCTTGTTGTCCCCAGCTGGTTTTTGCTGAAGTCAATCTGCTGCTGCAAGATGCTGCTTAAAATAAGCTCTGTGGAGTAGATCCGCTGTGGGTTTGCTAGCGTCAATGCTCGGCGAACTGATGCTGTAGCCAAGGCTGACTCGCTCGATAGTATCACATCGCTGGGACCAGCAGTGCCTTTAGCTACCGCCGTACCACCAGCACACTCGATGATCTTCACCAAGTCTTTCACTGGCGGAAGAATCGACCTATGGCTAGTGATGAATACATGATGACCAGCAAAGAGCATCTGTCGCTGATCCAGAGTATAGTCGTACATGGTTTTCTGTAGACTAAACTTCCACTTTACTTCTGCCTCCGTATCTTTTAGACAGTATCCCCTCTCGTAAAGAGAAGCACCCACACGCGCCGATTCATCGAGCCACCGCACATCGAGGACATGCACACATCGTGATATTCCACAAAGCATCTTTACAGTCCGTTTGAGCTGTCTCTGGGGGGCGAGAATATGCGTTGCTTTCTCGACGTCTTCCTCGTACGCAGCACCCAGAATTGAGTCAATCTTCTTTCGAATCGAAGCAGTTGGTTCAATGCCGGTGAGGACGATCCGCACTTCTGGGGCCTTCGACTCGTGTTTAGAAGGGGTAAAGATCTTACTCATGGGTTCATCCGCTGATGTACTCGGGGCTGATTGGGTCAGCATTAGTGCGGTGTCATCAGGGTCCTCAGCCTTTCTTTTTAGCCACTTACTCTTTGGTGTTTTCACAGCTGGCGAGGATGTAGTAGCAGCAAAAGCGCCATTCTCTCCAGGAATTACAATAGGTGAGACCTCTTTCGATTTGATGAAGGACGCGTCGGGTTTCGTTGCCATGGGCGCAGCGCTTGAATTTTCTACCACGTTCATAACCTTTGAGCCGTCATCAAGGTCATCTCGTTCTTTGTCGGTAGCGTTGCCTAGATTCACACCACCAAGGCCAACTGCTTCCATTGTTAAAGACATCTCCTCATTTTTTAACGTCGGCCGGTTTGTAATGAGTCCCCCGCTTATCTTCCTTTTCTTCTTAGCCAAGTCAGCTTTTAGTTGACTGGAGTTCGCTCGACGCTCGCCAATTACAGAGCGTCCCCCCTTATCCCTCTCTTCTCGTTGTGCTGCTGTGCGAGCGCTTTGCACTGCCTTTGATACTTGGTCGAACCAGAAATCGATCCTCGTCCGTTTTGTTGATACGAGAATAGTGTCGACTGTTAATCCATCGGATATTACCAAGCTCCACTCGTTATCGCCACGCACCCGCTCCCCGATTTTCATTTTGGGAGAGTGAGTGTCAAAATCATACAAAATTGAGTGCTTATTCCAGCCTTCCACCTTCATAACTAGTAGCCATTTAAAATACAGGACAATTTCGACCAGTTCCCACTGAGGCGAGCACAAATCGGTTTGGGGCGCCAACCAAAACAAACCGGGAAGGTGATCGTCGTGAAATGATGCGAACTTCGTCGGTATTGAATCCATTTCCACAAGCTGTTGTGATATCTCGTCACGCAAAGGTAGTCTGCTGATGGTTCGGGTTTGTTGGAGCACATCCGTCCGCGATCCGTTGTTTTCCAAAAACCCTCTGATTATATCAGCCCAACGTTGGCTTTCCGTAGCATCTTTCCAGATAAAAATAAGTATCGTATCTTGTTTAATCAGTGTAAAGGCACGCGCTTCATCAGAAGATTCGAAAACATGTACGCTGGTTGGAACGTGCTCAATAAATGCTGCATCTCGCTTGAGCTGTAAGCAATGCAGGATCGTAAACGACTTCTGCGGATTACCCTTTTGTTTTTTGCTGCAAACTAACGTTCCATCTTGAAAGCAGTGTACAGAGGTCTGGTTTAAGTTGCTAAGCAATCCCGCGTCAGCCTTTATACCAGCTTTACTGATATCGCTCCAGGCATACCGATGCGACATTAACACCTCTCCATAAAGCGTCAGCTTGTTACTTGACAGATCATCAAAGTAGTTAGCCTTGTCACCGCAGAAGCACGACTGCAACGCAATCAACTCCTTTTCATCTCGTTCATCTCTCTTGACAAGATGTATGTAGCGCTTGCTCTCCTGGACGATATGCATTAGATGAGAAGCACGGTTGACTCTTTCCGTACTGCCTGCATTGCAGCCATTGCGAGCGGCATCAAAGTCTCTATCTTTGGAGAAGGTATTGCTCAGCTCTTCAACAAAGTGAATGAGTTCGTCGAAGCGTTTTAGCGGACGCACCACCAATTCGTCTATAGTCAGGAGTTGGGTCTTTAAATACTTTTCCAGAAGCTCACCGTCCCAATCTTTTTTGCCTGTCCCAAACACTTTCTGCAGGGCTGAATAGGTGGCATCCCTTCTACAAAATAAGAGTCCGTATAGAATACGAAGGACGCTCAGCATGTCTGTCACAATTTCCACCAGGTCGTCGCACAACCTGCCAGCAGAGCAGGCATCTTCAACATCGATTACGTCCACAATCGGCTTGAATTTGCCTTGAAAAAACACATGTTGGTACTTGAGCTGAGCTGCCGCCTCGACGAACCTGTCGAAGGCGATGCTGTCTACGAGTGTCCCACGTCGTGACCGACATGCAAACCGCAGCTTTTTTGCTAGTTCTTCTTCAATAGTTTCAAGAAAGTGCACATAATTTTTGTCTTCCTCCAAAAGCACCCGTAGACTTGCCTGCGCGGTTTTCCACTGCTTTGGCATCGCTTCGTTTTTTTCGTGGTGGTAGCAGATTTATTGCTTGTCCACCAACTTACCTGCCAATCACGTGGCGACTTTTCTTTTTCAAAGAAAGGCATGTATGCAACGAAGTAATCGTCCTAATTCGACTATTCCTTGGATGCTCGTAATAGTGGGCAAAAGGCACATAACCTCTCAAATGTCGTTGGCTTAAAAATAGGGTTTGTCTGGACTGTACCCAACCGACCAGACCCATATCCCTAGCCCACTGATTTAAGGGATATATCGATCGTAAAAAAAATATTATCCGAACCATTCGCGAAGGGTAAAGTAATAGATCTTGCGGGTTTTAAGTTGGTGGATCCCGATCGAGTAACAGAATTTCGTGACTTCGCTGCATCCTGATGGCAAAGGTGGCCGTCCCCTGATGTGTAGCCGTCAAGAGGACAAGTCAGTGATCATGGGTGTTGGCTTTCTCGCGCGTGTTGAAGCGTCTCTTCATGAAAGGGAGATGATAATCCTCAAGGTCGGTCTTTACGCTGCCGGTTGACCACGAAATTGTACAAGCTTAAGGTACGGGAAGGTATTCGCGACCGTCTCAACTATAGGTACATGAAGAGATGTCGATAGCTACATTACGTAAAGATACAGAGGATAGAACTGCTTGACCTGCTGCTCGTTACCCAGATTTGTGTATCTGGTGGAGGACAGCAGTCAAACCGAATTTGTGGCTCTGCCTAGGTGGTAGCATTAAACGTGGTGGCGGTGGCGTACGAAACATGAGATTGAAGGTGTAACAATTTGGTGGATAGTGTAACGGGGTGAATCGTTACATAACAATTTATAAGAAATTGTTAATAGAGTATAACTATAAGAGTTATATTCTCAGAATATTGTCATAAGGACAATATTCTGTAGCACTTACGAGTAGTTCCTAATTGGTTGATATAGGCCATTATATCAACCAACGAAGACGCGCCACGACAGACGCACGCAATGAGTGGTGAGCAGATAGTTGATTTACACATTTGTATTTAGACATAGTTAGATGAAGATAAATAGTGATTTATTGCAGACATTAACTATTATAAATACAGTTCTACTTTTTACTTTAACCAAGTACTCGCTTCTTCTTACCGTCTTCCTCTGCACGTACGAGTGTACGTGAAGTTACGAGGCACCGCCTTATTCTGTCATCAGAATAAGTAGCTTGTACTGGTGACAGTACAAGCTTCAGGGTGCCCCGTTACACCTGGTAGCACTTCGTAGTCCGTCCAAGGACCACGTTCACATCTAACATGAATATGTTGGATGATGAAGATGACCAAAGCTTTCACGCTACGCGTGACGGCTACTCCCATTTGAGCGATGTCGAATGGGATGCGGTTGAACGAATGGGTTCAACCATGGGCATCCATGCTGTTAGCGTCATGCTAGGGGCTCTCAATAGAGATGCCCGACATGCTACTCTCGCCAGGTTCATTCAAAATGAACTTGACGCTGAACGCGAGAAAGTAGCCTTGCTTTACCAACAAGGTTCTCAACAAGCAGAGTTGTTGAGAGAACAGAGTGCTCAACAGTTTGAACTGTTGAGACAGCAGCAGGCTGCTGCTGGCGGGTCGATACATTCGCGTCGACCCGAGACTTGAGATTGACATCTCCAAGTATATGGGAGTCGAAGAGGACTCCCTCTTGAGATGGTTCGTCGAATTGGAACGCCATAAGGGCGCGTCGCATCGACGACGGGGATATGCAAGTTGCATTTGCCCAGTCAAATCTGGCAGGACGTGCCAAGACTTGGGCACTGGGGCTCAAGTTGCACGACCCATATGCGTTTGGGTCGTTGGAAGTCTTCAAGTCGCGGCCCAGACAAACGTTTGAACCGCCTAGAGCTGAGTTCAGAGCTCGAACCGAACTCTTGAAGCTCAGACACGGTAAGCGTGATGTACACGCTTACGCTCAACATATACGACATCTCACGAGTTGTATAAGTTCCAATCCGGTGGATGAACACACGTTGGTTTCGGTGTTCATGCAGGGTCTTGCGGATGGTCCCGTCAAGACTCACCTGTTCCGGCTTGAACTAGATTCACTAGAACAAGCCATTTCCATTGCGGAGCAGGAAGACTTCAGTCTGAGACAGGCTCGCGCCAGCTCGACATCATATCGTCAACCGAGACGATATGACAACGGAGGTCCAAAGCCGATGGAACTCTGTTATGTAGAGAGCGAGAAGGCTCGCTCTACAGGCTACAAGAAGTTGCAGAGATGCAACAGATGTCAAAAGACAGGACACTACGCTTATGAGTGTAGTGCCCCTCGTCCAGTGTATCGCGACACTGGGCGTAGTGACCGTCCACCCATGAGAAAGGGGCAGGGACGAGGGTCCGCTGTTGGTGCAAAGACGCAACAACGGGATGGACCGTCAAAAAACGGACAGGATCGGTAGGTGCGGAGCACCCTACTGGTCCAGCAACGTCAAGAGAATTTGTAGGCCTCTTGATGAAGGTTGCTCCCAACACACAAACGTTGTGCGTTGCTGCTCTAGGTAATAAGATCTCACTCATTACCTTGAAACTCGAAGTGACGAATAAGTTGTCCCTTCGAGCTCTAGTCGATTGTGGGGCGTCCAACAATTTCGTGCAACGCCAATCGCTAGAAGATGGTCACTTCAAGTTTGTTGACTGTAACACACCTCCTACGAGGATGACGGTACGTCTTGCGACAGGCGCATCCGTAACCGTCATGAAGCGTATAGTGAAGATCCACTATACGCTAGAAGATACCCAATATAACGATGACTTTATCGTATTGGATTTGGATGACAAATTTGATGTCATCCTTGGAATACCGTGGCTCAGAAGGTACGAACCACGGGTAAACTGGCAGCATCGGACAGTAACGATGCCTGCCGCTTGTTCATCAGATGGCCATCTGATGAACGTTTTGGAGCGTCCACAAGCGTGTGGATGTACTACGAGTGAGTGCGATGGCCTCACTTGTGGTACGGTCGTTAGTACGACTGCACAAAACCTTAGTGTACCAAACGGTTACACTTCGGAGCAAAGTTCCGGCGGCTGTGAGGAAACACAGGCTGCGCCGAAGGTCCACCACTCGAATAAGTCGGGTGGACTGGGACAAAGATGTATCCCTAGCGGGGAACATCTAGAAGAGAAACAATCGATCGCTCAGGTTAAGCGAAACGATAATCCTAGATCGACTGGAGAGTCTTTCGTAGAGGATCTCGCTGTGGTTGCGCAACCCCAGCTAGAGGAAGTAAAGGGAATAAGTCCCGATGTTACAAATACGGCGGAAATAAGTTCCCCGAAACCCGCGGGAATAAGTCCCCGGGAAGACGAAGGAATAAGTCCTTCGAAGCCTGAGGGAATAAGTCCCCAGGAAATGACAGAGACATTAAATGTCATAGTCAATAACGGATCAAGTGTAGGCGCTTATACACTTGATCTGATTGCGCCTCCGAAGTTGACTTCGGAGATCACTCAGTTGCCAACGCTCGAACATAAAAGGTCCTTGCGTGATCTGCGTAGTGGCAAAGTCAAGCAGATCTGCGTACTCGTCGCTGACGACGAGTGTGTAACCGACATAAGGTCAGCAACAGTGTTTACTGAGAACGAGAGAGTTCTCAGTAGTTCATCTATGGATGAAAGTGTCCTAGATGAAAAGACACGAATTGAGCGATATGACTCCCAATCGTGGGAATCGCTCAAGAAAAATCCTCTCTATGAAGATTTGGTTGAATTCAAGGATGTATTCCCTGAAACTGTTCCGTGCGAATTACCGAAGGATAAAGGTATTCGACACGAGGTCGAGCTTAAACCAGGCTCGAAGTACTGTGTCATGAAGCAGTGGCCACTGCCTCGTGAACAAGTACTTGCGATTGACAAGTTGTTTGCCGATCGTTTAGCTGCGGGCCATGTGAGGGAATCAACTTCCCCACATAGCTCTCCGACCTTCTGTGTGCGAAAAGCAACAGGAGGGTGGCGGATAGTGCACGCGTTCAACAAATTGAATGCTGCAACGGTACCGGCTCAGACGCCGATACCGAGGAAGGACGTAATCATTGATGGTATGTCAAAGAGTACCATCTTTTCGTCCATGGATTTGATGGATGGCTTCTATCAAATCCTTATGTGGGAACGGGATATACCCTATACCGCAGTTAGCACGCCTAGCGGCATGCTCTGGGAATGGCTAGTAATGCCACAAGGGCTTAGTAATGCCCCTGCCACGTTCAACAGATGTGTATCACATCTGTTGAGACCAGTACGAGAATTCGCGCCGAGTTATTTCGATGACGTATTCATCCATAGTCGAGCTATGGATGGAAAGTCGGACGTTGAGGTTCACAGGTACCACGTCCGACAGGTTCTTACAATCATGCGAAAGCATCAATTGTATGCAAACCTCAAGAAGTGTATATTTGCAGCAAGCGAAATACCACTTCTTGGGTGCATCGTTGGTAAGAACGGTGTACGTCCTGATCCCGAAAAGATCAAGGCGATCACCGACTGGCCTGTGCCGGTTGATGTCAAAGGTCTTCGAAAATTCCTTGGGCTAGCGGCGTATTTGCAAAAGTATTCACGCAATTACGCCGAGATGACTGTGCACCTCTCTCGTTTGTTGAAAAAGAACGAGAGGTGGTTATGGAACGCTGAATGTCAGCGCTCCTTTGATGGAATCAAGCAGAGCTTGATACAATCCCCAGTCCTAGCAATAGCCGATCAGGAGAGGTCATTTCATGTGGTCTGTGATGCCAGCGATTTCGCAATCGGCTGTGCATTAATGCAGTACGATCTTGAAGGCGTTGAACGCGTCGTCTGCTATCAGTCGCGTCAGCTGCAACCAGCTGAGCGGAACTATCCAGTGCATGACAAGGAACTCCTTGCCATGAAGTATGCACTCGCGAAGTTCAGAGTCTATCTATTAGGAGATAGACCCTTCATTGTTTACACTGACCATGCGTCATTACGCACGGCAGTGAACAGCCCGCACCTTTCACAACGAATGGCGCGGTGGTTGTCATTCTTTGCGGAATACAACTTTACGGTCGAGTACAAACCAGGACGACTTAATGTCGTTGCTGATGCACTCTCACGTCGTCCCGACTTTGAAATAGTCGCGAAATCCAACAGTGAGACAGTCATTGTTGCGGTTAGGACGTCCTCAGTCCCATCTACAACGTTGTGTGATGATGTGAGGCGGGCATACGCCCAAGATGGTGAGATAGTGAAGTTGTTGACACATCTCTCCCAACCATCTCGAGAATCGTTGAACCGATTGTCGTCTGCGTATCGATCTGCATCAGATCGATACACTACTCGTAACGGTTTACTGTACTATACAGCCGTTTCTGGTGACACACCACGCGTTGTCATTCCAGATGATACTGATCTGCGTTTGCGGATCATGTTCGAGTATCACGATGCTCCTATAGGAGGACATCGTGGCCGAGGGAAAACATATCTCACGGTAAGTCGAGACTTTTACTGGCCCCGCCAGTATCAGTTTGTGCGAAAGTATGTTCGCGCATGCGAAGTCTGTCAACGAGTGAAGTCAAGTCCTTCACTGCGTGCACCCTTACAGCCTCTACCGGTTCCGGCTGAGTGCTGGGAATCCATCTCAATGGATTTTGTCTTCGGTTTACCCAAAGACGCACGCGGGAATACGGGTATTCTCGTATTTGTTGACAGATTCAGCAAAATGGTACACCTTGTGGCTGTACCAGAGTCAATCACAGCAAGTGGCTGTGCTTGTGTCTTTATCGACACCATCTTCCGACTTCATGGGTTGCCCCGTGAACTCGTATCAGACAGAGATCCACGATTCACTGCTGATTTCTGGCGTTCCGTGTTCAAATCACTCGGAACGCGCTTGAAGATGTCGACATCTGATCATCCAGAGTCAGATGGTCAGACGGAACGTGCCAATCGTGTCCTCGAAGAGATACTTCGAGGATACGTACACTCCTTTACGAGTTGGAGTGAGTTTTTGCCAATGGTAGAGTTTGCCATTAACAACTCGGTGCATGCGTCCACGACACATACACCGTTTTACTTGAATGGCTTACGCCATCCGCGTGTACCCACCTTACTAGAGTGTAACTCTGGTTTAAGGGGGGAGGGACTCGCGCGAGCAAAAACCGAATTGGTTCACGCTCATCACGCTCTGACGAAGAGGTCATTGCGTTTGATGCCGATATCGATAACATCGATATCGAAGAAGATGATGCCAGTGAGAGTGCGGAAGCCCTCACTGAAGAAAAGGTTGATGTTGCTGCAGTGCGCTCACAGCACACTGAAGCTAACGAGTCATCAGATGAGTTCATACTGGCTCGTGAAACGGTAGTCCGTTTTGTGCAAGACTTCATCGCCGAAGCGGTGGATAAGCAAAAGCAAAACGCTGATAAGAATGGAAGGGCAAACACTCTTTTATTTAATAAAGGTGACTTAGTCCTACTTTCTACGGTTAATCTACCAAAGCATGTAGTGACTAACTTGGGTAGCAGTAAACTACTACCCAAGTACATCGGCCCTTTTCGTGTATTGCACCGCCTGGGCAATGCATACACGATCGAATTACCACGTAAGATGCGAACGCATCCCACGTTTTACGTTGGTCGGCTTAAGCCGTACCATCAGTACGCTGCTTCTTCCGATGAAGAACGCCCTTGTGCTCAAGCATCTCGCAGAGAGCCTTGTGCTCCCGATGGTGGGCATGAACAAGGGTCTGAAGAGCAGCTATCTCATCCCGAGACCGATCAGCAATCCCACGAGCTACCCTTAGCTCGTCACGCAGAGACGTCAGAGATCTCTCGTTCTCAAGCTGAGCAAAGGCAAACTCAGCTCGATGCTTCGAGGCAGTGTCCGCCATTTGGAGACGCCTATTCCGCTCATGTTCGAGATCGTCGCGTAACCCTTGCGTTACGCGATCAAAGAAGCTCTCGGGAACACACCGATCCACATGATCGTGTGGAGAGCGTCTTTCCTCCTCCTCCACCTCCATTAGAGGACTCTCGCGGTGGCCAGCGCTATCTAGTTCAGCAGCTGTTGAACCACCGCGACGTGAACGGACGTCGGACGAGTTATCTCGTCCGGTGGCGCGGCTATCCCCTGTCCTGGGATTCTTGGGAGCCCCGCTCCCAACTGATGATCGACGTACTGGGTCTGGTTGAGCAGTACGACGCGGCACATCCTGTGCCGCAGAAGGACCGCCGGAGAAAGTCTTCCCGGAACGGTCGTAAAGGGATTTCAAGCTGTCAATCCCTTCGTACATCTCAGTAGAGACACGTACGCGCCACCACGGGCTGGTAAGGAGGTAAGCCTCCTTAGGTGCTCGTGCAGAGTTGTTCACACAACATGGGCACGAATCTGCCCAAGAGAGGCAGGGTATTCCTTTCTCCCTTGACAGACGATGCAGCTTGTAGCGTGCACCTGTCGGGGTTCGCTTTTCAAACTTATCACGAACTTTGATAAGTTTGTCGTTCCAAGCGTCACGACCTACATCCTCAAGGTTATGGATGTAGGCGTTCCACGCCTGAAGTAGTGAGGGACCATCACGTTTGTGATTCCCACTGTACCATCGATGCTTAAAGAAAGCATCGATGAAGAATTCATGCTCAGCGCGATAGTTCTTCGCGCTGGGGTCAAGGTGATGGATCCTTGACGAATCGAACAACCGTGTACGATAACGATCACTCGTCGTCACCGACAAGTGATCCATGACAGATTTCGGAGGCATCCATGCCTTCTTCTCATGAGCGAGACGCAAGACATTGCGGTCCCGCTCTTCCTGCGACGTGCCGACAGAAGGACTGGCACCTCGTTGCGAAGTGGTGTCAACAGGAAAATCGACACCACTGTGAGCGCCCGAGTCTCGCGACCTCGAGCGCCTTCGCTTCGGTGATGGTTCATCTGATGAATCAGATGAACCAAAGATGCTGCGACGCATAGCATCATCCATGCCACGCTTGGCAGGCGGCTTGGATTCGATCGCCGTCGATACGGATCCGTCTTCCGTATCAGGAGAGTACGAGACACCGAGCTCGTACTCTGTGAAGACATGAGTGTCTTCATGACCAGCGCCTGTATCACCAAGTGACACAGGCTGGGTCGCTTCAGCAACCGATGAGACATCAGTTGCTGTGGTTTCTGCTTCGGCGTCCGCACAGAGACGTGCGGACGCGCTCTCGGCGGCCTTGCTCGCGCATCGCATGGGCTTGTTAACCATGCGATGAAGTGTTGGGAAGTGGACTCGGACAAACAAGTGCAAACCCTGTCCCAAATGATTTGGGACGAGTATCCATTTAGTCAATCAGTCACTAAATTGACTGATGGTTAAGGGGGGTGATGTAACGGGGTGAATCGTTACATAACAATTTATAAGAAATTGTTAATAGAATATAACTATAAGAGTTATATTCTCAGAATATTGTCATAAGGACAATATTCTGTAGCACTTACGAGTAGTTCCTAATTGGTTGATATAAGCCATTATATCAGCCAACGAAGACGCGCCACGACAGACGCACGCAATGAGTGGTGAGCAGATAGTTGATTTACACATTTGTATTTAGACATAGTTAGATGAAGATAAATAGTGATTTATTGCAGACATTAACTATTATAAATACAGTTCTACTTTTTACTTTAACCAAGTACTCGCTTCTTCTTACCGTCTTCCTCTGCACGTACGAGTGTACGTGAAGTTCCGAGGCACCGCCTTATTCTGTCATCAGAATAAGTAGCTTGTACTGTCACCAGTACAAGCTTCAGGGTGCCCCGTTACAGATAGGACAAGGTCCGTCCGCTAAGACGCCACAACTACCAGTCAACATGCGGCAGCTGAAAATCGTTGTGCACAGAGCCTGATATTTGTGGTCGACACAAATGATCGCGGTCGTGTTAATGCTGAACGAGGGCAAGATGCTCACTATGCTGACGAGGACGAGCTGAAGGACTCAGTGCTGCGGGTGTTTTTAATAAAGCAGGATCTATCGAACGCCATGAGCGTGGCTGAAATGATAGACAAGCTAATTTACACGGTCTGTGCCACCACCAGTGGTTTGTCCAGGTGTATGGTGCTACGATGGGTAAGCGGCTGTATGAAAGTATGGATTGGCTCTTGGCCTATTTTACATAGAGACAGTTGACAGTTGTGCTATGGCGCTCTAATGCATTTCTGTCATGCTCTCTGTAAGTGAAAATGTGAGCGTTAGAAGATATAGCTTTTAACAGGTTACGTCGGTGTAGAGGCAACTGCAAGACCTGTTACAGGTTTAGGTCGACCTCACCTGATTGGTCGACAAGTTGACGGTGGGACGTGACAGGTTGACATATGGGACGCGAGAAGACGATCGTCATGTCGGACTATCAAAGACAGATGGTAGGAGAGACAGAGACATACAGACGTCATATGGGACCAGGACCAGCACATGGTATGGGCACGCTGGACGTATGCCAAAGTACAACTTGACCAGGTCAAGTTGCAGTGCTGGTGCAAATACATACAAATAGGGTTGACTAGGGATAATAGTTAAGCACCCAATATATTTCACTTTTACTTCCTACATCCTTTACACAAGTGCAAGAGTTACCAACATCTAACAGGTTATGAGCCCAAGCAAACGTGTTGGTGGTGCGGCTAAACCAGCTGCACATACCGTGGTGGTCGACGACCATCACCTGGAAGAAAAGTCGGCAGCGCCTTCGGAGGCGATCGAGAAGATGCTAGCCATGCTAGGATACCTGTCCGAAAGGATGAACCGGATGGAGGTCTCCCAGAGAGAGCAAGGCGGCAAGAACTGGCAGGGCTCACCCGAGTCGAGTATGGCCAGTCGGCAACAGGAGGTCGGGGCAGGGATTAATCTCCAGACTTTGGACCGTACCCCTCCTAAGGAATCCCCAAACGTGTCACCAGCAACCTATTTCGGCATTCGGCGACAACAACAGGCAGGTGTTGAAGGTCCTCACGCGAGAAAAGCAGAGGAAGGAGTCAACATGGGTCAGGCACCCGTCCCTGGGATATACCGGGCAGGTTTACCTGAAGGACGCTACCCCGGTATGGGTATGCCTAACGGGGTGTGTGTTTACCCTGGGCAGCCGGGAGTCGGCATGCCGGACGCGCAACAGCGGAAGCTGGCATTGCAACCTTTCGACGGAAAGGAGCTCTACCACGGCCTTGGCTGTGGATTCATGGAGTGGGGCAAAGAATTTGTCAGACAAGTCGGGTTTGCTGAGCGAGCGTGTGGTTTCGTGTGGCCAGAGGACATCAAGGTTGATGTTCTAGGTCAGCACCTAGCCGGCAAGGCACAGACGTACTATCGTCGTCAAGTGGAAACGTGGTGGTTTGAAAACCAAACCCTGGAACATGCGATGCAGAGACTACTGCAGACCTTCACGACGAAGATCTCGCCAGCACAAAGCATGAAGTTGTTCACAGCACCCAAGGCATCCCATCGAAACTGGACAGACCATTTCTGTACTTGACGGCCGTCAGTGACGCCTGTGGAGGTGCAGACAACCTTGTGCTGGACAACATCGTCCATTATGCTGACCCACACATGCGAACGACGATGTTGTCCAGATTGGACATTCACGGCACCGATTACCTGCGGCAAGCAGAAGAGTTGGCGCAATTTGCCCAATCGACGGAGGTGGACACTCACTCGAAGAGTTTTGGACGCGATGTGGTGAACACTGTCGAGGTTGCGCAGGAATTCAAGGACAAACACAAATCAAGACCGTCGCTACCACGCAACGACACCCGGACTTGTTTCAAATGTGGAGAAGTGGGTCACTGATGGAAGTGCGCTGCGGATCACCCTACAAGGAGCTGTAGACATCCAAGTCGTTGCACGTGGAGTCGTGAACACAGTGAGGCTCCTCAATGTTCAGTATGCGGAGAACCTCGAGCGTAACATCCTTTCCTACGGATTGCTCGAGTCAAAAGGTTGCGTAATTGAATATCGAGGAGGGAGGCGCGTGTTGTCTTCCGGTACGGGCGGTACACCCATCATGGATGTGGATTGCTGCAACAACGTGTTGGTTGTCGCGGTGACAAATCACAGTGATCGTAATTCCAAGCCACCACAAGAGGCACTGATGACTGTCGTCAACCCACCTGAATATGAATCCGATTCGGATGTTCTATGCGGTACCTTGATGGACTTTCATCGACGTTTAGGACACCTTTGTTTCGACACGATCGTCAAGATGGCGAACGATCCGGCATCATGCATCCGACTGACTGATTCGACACGTCAAAAGTGTCTGGCCTGTGCCCAGGGAAAACAGACCAAGGGAGCCCAGTCGAAGAGAGATACAGGCGCGAATTCGCCAATCGACGCGATCGGGGGAGTCATTTGTTCGGACCTTAAAGGGGTCCCATGACCCCCCGAGATCGTTTGGGAAATCGTTACATGGTCAACTTCATCGACCACCATTCGAGTTACTGTCGAATATTTTTGGCTAAGTCGAAGGATGCAGCCGCGTCAAAGTTTAAGCTCTTCATGGCAAACTTCGAGCGCGAGTTCCATTGCAAGGTTCATATCTTACGCACCGATGGAGGTGGCGAATGCAAGACACTCGATATCTTCTGCTCTTCGGAAGGCGTCTTGCGTCAAGTTAGCGAGGCGAAAAACCAAGCAAGCAACGGCAAGGCTGAACGGATGCACCGCACCGTCATGAACATGGTGCGGAGTATGATCTTTGCATCAAACCTGCCGCTCTCATTTTGGGGTGATGCTGCAGAGTACGCCTCGTACATACTGAATCGAAACAAAACCAAGTCCAACCCCGGATGTGCATCGCCCTTGGAGATCCTGACAGGCAAGGCTCCCGTGCTGACAGACATTGTGGCCTTTGGTTCAACATGCACTGCGCACAGAGACCCAAAGAACAAGTCACTCGGTGAACGAGGCAAGGCGGGCATCGTCATTGGGCGAGGCAGCGAAACGAAGGGATACAAGGTGTACATCCCAGTGGATAAGGTGGTCGTGGTGACTCAACATGTTCAAAACATTGAAGCACCACAGGATGACCAGGATGAGAGAAAGACCTGTCTAGACCACCACGACGTCAGGAGGAGCCAGGCCCTGATCATCAGGCAGATGAAGAAGATCGGCAAGATGGTGTGAAACGTGCGAAGCAGGTCAGAAAAGGTCGAAAGTCGACATGGACCAGAGAGCGACATGGGACAAGATTGACAACGTCAAGTCAACCAAGGGTGGTTGAAGTGGACACCTCGGTGGACGGTTGCGACATCGTGAACGCGATCGTCGAGCAAGACCCGAAGCACTATGGTGAGGCAGTGAAGAGTGGACAACGCGACCAATGGCAGGTAGCCATGACCGAACAATTGGACGCACTCGAGGCGAACGACGTCTGGAAGATCGTAGTGCCACCCGATATTCGACATTAGCTTGGCTAGTTCAATCTTCTGGCCTCAATGGGATACTGGGAAGATGGACTGCTCTGCTATCAAATTGGACACTGGAGGTCAAGGGATGTAACAAAGGAGAGGATGATATACTAGGCGCTCTCGCAGCTAGTATAATTCCGCGTGACGAGGTAGATGATGTGTTGATTGTGATCGCTCCACAGAAGAAACCTAAACGATTGGTATATATGCTACCTCCCACGGTAGGTACGGATGAATCTCTGTTGGTGGTCAGTTTCGACGGATCGGCACGGACTAAACAGAAGAGCGGGGCATATAGTGCGATCGTGTGGAAGCTACCAGAATGGACCACCGTCTCAGCCGCTTCGGAATACGCGGCAGATCTGACGGTGAATGCAGCAGAATATCGTGGCAAGTTGTTGAATCTCGATCTGCTGAACAAACAGACTAGGGGATCAGTGATTATATGTGGTGACTCGAACCTAGTGATCAGGCAAATGCGGGGAGATATGGATTGTAAAGCGCCCGGGCTACAGCTATTGCGTCATAGAGCAATGCAGAAACTTCGATTTTGGCCAAAACACGAGTTCTTACACATGAAGAGGGAGTGGAACCAAAGCGCGGATCGACTAGCCGGTGCAGATTTGCAGCAAGAGTAAGGTGTCATTGTGAACTTAGATCAAGAATTGCAAGATTTGATATTACTCAACATGCTCCACGTGTTGCTTCTGCCGGAAAGGACGGATCGCGTGGTGAAAATGATAGTGATCACACAATCCGCGCGGCGAAGGCGTCAACAATCCGAATTTATACAAGTAGAAATAGTGCAGCGGATGAGGATCGAGCGGATAAAACGAGCGCAAGAGGAAGAGAGCTGGATCGCCAACCTGCAGGAATATCTTGTGGGCGACCTGACCCAGTTAAACGCAGAGGATGCAAAATTATGCTCTCGGATTGCTCCAGACTACGAAGTGGACGAAAACGGATTGCTGTTCTTCAGACCTTAATCCGCTAAGGGATCGGACGATCGTATCGAGATGTTCCGTCTGGTTGTACCGGAATCGTTGTAGCAAGATTTTATGCACCATTACAACACAAGCTTGGAGGGTGGTCACCAGGGGATCGGGAGGACTTATCAGCGGATCAGATCCAATTTCACTGGAGAGGATTGTATCGGAGTATACAACGTTATGTTGGCGACTGCGTGGACTGTACAACCAGGAAGGGTCTACCCGCGATCCGCGGCAGATACCCGAGAAACATGTAGGCTACATGCCCATTACAGGTGATCTCGATGGATTGTATCCCATCATTTCCGCGGTCATTTAAAGGAAACACAGAACTGCTGCTGTGGGTAAATCTTTTCTCAGGATATGTGATCGCGAGAGCAAGTTCGTCGAGGAACACTTAAACGATCGCTGAAGGATATGAAGAATGTGTGCTTTAAAGATTTGGAGCCAGTGAAGTTATACGTCACGACAGGGGGCCTGAATTTATGTCCGATTTTTTTCGAGAAATTAATCGGATCTCAGGGCAAAAGCAACGTGCGACCATGGCGTACCGACCGCAAGCGAACGGAACTGCGGAGCGTATGGTACATACGTTGACTTGGTCGATCAAGATGTACGTCACGGACGTAAAACAGAAAGACTGGGATGAATATGCAGAAAGTTTGACATTCGCTATGAATACAGCATAAGATCGGATCCGTGAAGACACTCCGTTATATTTGATAGATGGCTGGGATCCAAGATCGACATTGGAAGTAACTTTATCGTTGGGGAGCACTAAAACACGCACTGCTGACCCTAGAAGGTGGCGATAAATCGTCCAACATCAATGTCAGAGGTCAAGAGCAGTGGTAAACGAACGTCTCAAGATCGCTAACCAAGATCGAGCGGATCGACACAATGACAATAATGAGGTGTGTGACATCAAGTGCGGATCGCAAGTTTGGCTCTACTTGGACCGAGTCAAAGTCGGCTATGCTCGAAGTTAGCACATATGTAGCACGGACCGTTCCGAGTGGCAAAGTTATGTGGGGAACATGCTGTTCGGGTCGAGATTACAGGAGCTCCATACCGATTGTTCCCGATAGTGCACGTCTCCGAGTTAAAGCCAGTGGTACAGTTTCCCGATCGGCCAGGCATTGTGCTAACCACTAACTGTGAGGATCGTGTGGATTTCGATGAGTCGTTGTTGCCGGATGATATTTGGAAAACGAGTTGGCTGCTGACGAATACAAAGTGGAAAATTTTAGATTTACGATCAGCACGTAACACTCGTTATGGCCGAATGCAATGACAGTTTTTAGTTCAATGGAAGCAACACGACGATTCGACCTGGATAGCCGAAGCGGGCTTGATCTGTGGCGCGTTGTTGCAAAATTTCAAGCGCAACTGTGCGAGTCAATTCCGCTTAAAATTTATGCAGTCCTATGAGGAGTAAACCGAAAGTTAACGGGTACTCGAAGAGATGAGCGGTTGGCGCATGCTTAGAGGTGAACGTAAAACGGTGGATGGGCGTATGTACAAGGATGTTGTATAAAATGATGAATCGGGGTTACATGTAAAATGAGTGGTGATAGCGGATCGAAGGGATTCGATCGCGGTTAAAAATTCGAAAAAAAGGTGATCTCGAGATGAAGAACAAGATGGAGGATCAAGAGAGAGTATATTGAATGATGGAACTATCTGAATAAAATCCTAGCGATCAAGCAGGAAAAAATTACCTGGAAATTGTACGATCGATAATCCGGGGTGGTCAGTGATAAAGAATCGACGCTGGGAACGCCAAGGTTCAGCGACATCCATATACGGGAGAGCAGCGATCAAATTGGGGATGCCCTTCATGTTGCATCACAGGCCAGGATATCAAGGGGAAACCTTTTTGAAAGAAGGAAATTGTAGAAGTAAGGGATATAACAGAATGTCTAGGTCACAACGACCTCGATCAAATCTTGCGAGATAAATCGAAGGATCGCCTCCCACCGAGGTCCAGCTCGCGACCGACGCTGCTTTCTCTATTTCCAGAACTGGTCCAGCTCAGGATCGCTTACTCGCTGTTCACTGTAAAAAAAGATCGCGTGCGTCGACTCCCATAAAGCCTGTCGGTTACGATCCTCGATTTCCAAGTACAGAGAGGTGAGCTGGTAGAACCAGCCAGTACGAGGGAAAGATATCGACGCAATACGACGTGTGGCTGTCTACCAAGGCTCTTGGGCGCATAAGGACCCGATCTGGACCGAACACGCCACCCGAGGTGTCCACTCAGATGTAGGAGGAGGCCACTTGGGCGCCATAACCGTCGGGAAGATATAGCCTTTCGGACGGGATAAGTGGCGGTACAGAAGTCAGTGTCCATCTCCGCGACGCTCTTTTAACTGACCTTGCGTGCCGACCAGGACAAAAAAATGGAGAAACGATCGCGGTACGCGATCTCGATATCCAGGAATCTACTGGTCGCGAGAGACCTTGTAAGGGGGCAAGCTATCATAATCCGCCAAGGATAACATCGGATTGACGTGATCGCGAAGCGAACCAGAGAATCTGATGGCACCATCCGAGTCGCTGGACGCTTCTCCGAAAAGGTCTGCCCAAATTACCTTGGTCACGGTAGGAATAGCTGGATCAACCGGATGTTGAGGATCGCGCGAAGGGATCGGCGTGTCTATGATGATCGGATCCGGAGAAGGTCCAGCCGAAGGTTGTGCCGCCGGATTGGACGCTCGATGAAGACTGAAGGACCGCGAACCAGATAAAGCCGCTGAAGTCTCATCCTCACCTGCCGATGCATCCTCCCCCTTTAAACGAGGTTGAGCTCGGACCACGGCGCTTCTGCTTGCCCAGTTTAGGAGTAGCTGCAGGCTTCGCTGGATCATGGCGATTCATGAGATTGCTACGACCCTTTGGATCGCGGGTTCCCTTGGGAGCGGACCAAGTCTTAATATCGCGAACTATAGACGGCTTGGCTTTAGCAGTAGCGGAACGTGCCACCCTGGGATCGCAAACTGGGGACGGCTTGGCTTTGGACGCAGCGGATCGAGTCACTTTGATTATTGGCGGCAAAGTTGACGATGGTAGGGAATCGCAAAATCGCTTGCGACTCGATCCTGAAACGTTCGACATCGCTGAGGAGTCGCGGTAACGGGTGAGTGGGTAGACGATCCCACCTTCGTAGGTGTGGCTGAATTATCCCCAGACACCAGCGACGCCATATGATCCCGAAGTGTCGTGTGATCTCGTATTGCGCGATCACGTTCGGCAGCCACGTCCGCAAGCTGAACTCGCATCTGGTCCAACTTAATGTCACGATCCGATACGATGCAACGCGATTGATCACACTTAGCGAATTGGGCGGATAGAGAATCCTGCGCCTCGCTCAGTTCGGCCCGAAGCCCCGATACCTGCTTGAGCGCGCGACACAGCTATTCCTGGTCGGCCTGGAGCCCCGCTACTTGTTTGAGTGCACGACGCAGCTTCTCTTGGAGTTATAAACCGGTTTCTTTGTACTTTGACTTCTTACTGTTGGCCTTGTCCAGGCTGTGGGACAACTTGTCATATTCAGCCACCAACCGTTCTCCCGCCTCGTCCATCTGCTTTCGTGTCCCGGCGATCTTACGATCGGCTTTCTCCTGTGCGGCTTGACGTGCTCGCATAGTCCAGAGAATTACAGGTCCTTAAGGGTTCGATCAAGACAGTCTGGTCGACCCGGTCGGCCAACGTCTCCCGAAAGGCT